CTCCAAAGCACTGCACAGGCACGCGCCAGATCGGGCCTTGAGGAGACCATTTTTCCGTGTGCACGTGCCGACATGGATTTGTCCAGACGTTTGTCTGAATTCGCTCAATTGTATAAAATAACTACGACTAGGTCTCTGGCCAAAGCTACTACGTTGTCAAAAAAGGTTCTTGTTGGAGTAGGTTAGGTCCCCCTTCGGTAATGTCGTTTTACTAGTAGCTCTTTCCCCGAAGGGGGGATGCCGTAGTTCCTAATGTAGTAGGCATATGGACAGAGCCTAGTTGTAGTTTAACTACATTACTAGTTACCCTTCGGGATTAGCGGAGCCAACATTAACGAGGGCTTTGCCCCACCGAACTACGTTGTGTCAACCTGCGGCCGAAAGGACAAACTCAGCAGCTTCAGTCGCTATTTTAGTCCACAAGACTGGTGTCTTTGTTGTGAACTAAGCCGTGGCGTTGGGCGGAAAGCAGATGTACACAACAGAGGACGGAGAGGGGCTTTAGCTCAGTGGTAGAGCGCGCGCTTTGCATGCGTGAGGCCACCAGTTCAAACCCGGTAAGCTCCAAGAAACAAATGCAGATCGAAGACATTATAACATGTTACTATACTATGAGGGTTGTTTAAATAAAAGGAGTTAAATGAGCCTGTGGTCGTATGATTCCATCTCTTAAAACCTCGACTCGATTGTATTGCGCGGTTAGCAGGTACGGGGAATGCACCCCACGATCATGTAACACGCACAGATGCAACACACACACTATACATATAGAATACTCTTGCTGAACATTCAGCCGCCACGTGTGCCTTAGGGCTGAGGGGCGGCGTAGCCACTCCTGTATGCCCGCACCACCGTGGCCTAATCCCTAATCCTCGCCCTGGGCCCCACATCCCATCCTGACGTCGTCAACCCTATTCCCCATCCCGCCTGACCAGTACCTGCCCCCAATCCCCCATCTCTGCAACCCTCTGGAATACTCTTGCTGAACATTCAGCCGCCACGTGTCAGGACGGGAACAAGAAGAGAAGCAAAGTAGATGATCTTGTCTTGCACAGAAAAATAGATGTGTATATGATCTATTTATTGTATTATATATGTATATATGTGATATGATAAACAGTTAAAACACACACACACACACATATATATATGTATATTATTTATATTGGTATGGGTGTGCACTCGGTGCTTCATCATATCACTCGATGGTGTATGGGTGATAGGCGACATGCCAGTCCTCTTTCAAAGGACTCATCGAAGTGGAGCATTTATATTTTATCCTCGGGTCCCGATGATCATACCACATCCATCTGCATCATGACATCATGCGCCGTGACTACTGGCTGACACAGCATGCAGGGATATGTTCACTTCAGTTCATTAGGTAAAGCGCAATCCTACCTGGGTATCCACTTCGATGTTCCCTTCTGAGTGCACGAATTATCTTCATATCATAGTGTCATAGTGTGGATGTGTTACTTCACTTCACAAATCTGATGGACATACATACCCACGCACGAAGTAGTGTCCATTCTGGCGGCCAGTTGACATTTCGCAACGCCATACACACACATACATACACACCGAGCGGATGCAGGCGATTGAGAAGATTGAATACTGTAGCAACTGCCGTACAGTATAACATATGTACATCAGCGAAGTGCATGCATGCACTTTTTTCACAAGCTCCTGTCCGAAACCATGCCACTGTTGGATTCAGGAGTCGACTGTTCGACTCCTGCAAAGTACAACACGGTGCAGGGTAAATGGAGATCAGGATGTAACTTTCCCTCAGCATCAACCATGGATCATCACATCGTAATAGAGTATATGCATGTAGCTGTCGCTGACTGGCAACCCTTTAACAGAGTCTGATGAATTCGAACCTGATGATGATAAGGGTGCTGAACCATAAATCATCAGGTGGTGTGGATGCTAGACCTTGAAAAGTCACTGGTGTGGATGCTAGACCTTGGAAAGTCACTGGAAGTCAGCAAGAACGTTGGCATGGCTGACAAGGATGAGGATGCCTCAAAACATTGGCGAAGGTACAGGGACTGCCAGGCGAGTAGTCAAAGATGACGCTTTGACTTCCCTCTTCAGCTGTTTGATACGATTATTAATGTACATTCCCCTAGGCCTGGCGAGCTCATACTGTTGCATGGATGGGTTGGGGAATATCAGAGAATGCGTTTTAGCAGCATGCAGTTGCTCACAGCCGAGTTTTACTACTGCTTCTGCTACATTGTGCCCGTTGCAAATATGCAACACAGATTGGTCCGACACATCGGCAGAGCAGAAGAGTTAAGCCAAACTTAGTTACCTGCTTTCCTTTCCGTTCAATGGACCGCAAACTTGCACAATCTGCGAATTGCTAGGATCGAATTAGCGACCTCTAGATCTTCAGTCTAGCACTCTCCCAACTGAGCTAAATCCGCACGGCCTTCGATCGAGCAGCTCATACATGTGCTGTAAGATATGAGATCATCACATTGCGTGATGTGAGAGGTAACGGGCCCTGATTTGTAGCATCGCATCAGCTCTTGCAAGCCGCTTGCTTGCTTGGCTACTATATGTACACATGTCAACTACCCTTACTTGGCGACGATGCAAGATAGAGCAGCGTGCGACTGACTTACCGGAGGATGGAGATATTATTGATCCTGGGGGAGAGGGGGGACGAATGCCTGGATTTCCAGAAGCAGGGATGGAAGGTGTGGGCCTGCCTGTAGCAGTTTTGTGCATGTCCAGGTGTCGTGGGACCCACGGGTCTGGGCGTTCCACACCATGTGTACGCAATTACTCAGCTATGCAGCTCCCGCATTCCAAAATAATCCTTTATTTAAGCATATATTCGCCCTAAATAACATTATTACAGTATTTCAGGCGAAAAGATGAAGATCCTTAGAAGCAGGCATCACTTTAGTTGAGAATCTAATGTCATCTAAATAGATCTAATTAATTTAGTTGAGAAGGGCATGCCTTCTCAACTTAGGCACAACCCTAGCTAAGAGCCCCCTTAGCAGTAGTGGGCGTCCCCAACCTGAGGTCATCTCAGGATTTCTGTGAGGTGGCAGATTTCACTAGCGGATAACCAGCGGTCGCAGAACCGCTACAGCGGAGATCTTAACCCAGGTCAGATGTGCACGACACCAATTGTTACATCGCGGCTTCAGAAAAATACCGATCGGCGGACGTAGATCCCATGATGTGCCCAAGATACTGCAAAAGGTATGTGCATCGGTGCATGTAAACCTCAGAATGCCCAGTCATCATGATCATCCTTGTGCAGCGGCTGCACCTGCAGCAGCACCTCTATCGCCTCCACCGCATGCCAAGGCTTCTGCATCACTGCTCGCAACGGCTCAGGCTGTGTTTTAAATCGGCCGTGCTCCTCCTCCCACCCCACGCGATCATGTGTACTGCACGAGCAGTCTTCATGGCGGCTATCCATGTGGCACTCAAGCACCTCAGCACTCCCGTCACCGGCTGTTGTAGATATCTCTTCCGGTGCCGTCGTCCACTCAAGTATGGCTGCTCCTTCCCCGGGAGCCAAATCAGTTCCCCCCTCCAGCCCCGCTCTAACCCACCAGTTCGCCCGAGTATCCTCCTCCTTCCCAGGTGCCACCACTCCATCACCTGCTTGGGCAGACATGTACGTGTCCCACCCGCCATGCAGCACCTTATCCCCATCCCGGTAGCTGGTCCACTCTCCCACCGCCGTGTCTTCCTCAGGCCCGTTGCCACTTGCCTCCAGCAGGAGCATATCGCCGCCTTCAGGGAGTAGCTCGTACGGCGGGCGCCCGCAGTCACCACAGATGCCGTCGCCAGTGCCGACATCCTCTGCTGGGGCCCCCGCGGTGGCATGGCCTCCACCCTGGCCGCGAGTGCGCTTTCGCCGCATCTTCGCCGCTTCTTTAGCCTCCACTCCCGCGGTCACATGCTGAGTAATGTTATCGTACAACTTGCCATACAGAGCATCCGAGAGGCCACTCGCTTTGCAGTCGAGCAACCGGCAGGCGTACGATGCCAGATTGGGATTGCAGGCTCGCCTGCAAGCGGTGCGTTTAAATTCACGTTCATCGGAAAGGACTGAGCCATGAGTAAGAAGTGTCGATGTGCGTGCATGGATGTAACCGGTTGGTTAGTTGGTGGGTGGGTGGGTGGGTGATTGGCTTGTTGGTTCATAGGTGGTATGTATGGTGGGTGGATGGTAAGTTGGTGATAGACATCATGCTATATTTATGTGTTACACCTTTACTCTCCAAAGCTTTATGCTCTTGTTTGCTTGTTTGGAACGCCATGGGTCCGCAAGGGCTCATGCGAGTATGTATGATGTGTGGGACAGGGGGGCATATCTTCACCCTGCGGCCACTGCCCGGCAGATCCTGCCTTCCCTGGTATTTCGGGGCACCCTCATCTAGTCATCCCAGTCAACTTCTCAGTGGATCGTTCAGGTTCTGCAACCACCACCGGCACCCACCACCGGCAGCCATGCCGGATCGATGGCGGCTGGTCAGCTCGCAAGTCAACTTTATCCCAGGTCACTACCGTCCATCGACTAGGGGCACTACCCTGACAGGGCTCGATCCCGGGATCTCCCGGGGGCATTGGTGCGTGCTCTACCAGTAGTGCCTAACCTACGTAAAAATGCACATGCATCCAAAATCATGACATGCGTGTCAGCTACCCACTTGATAATGGATGACAACGAATCCACAAGAACCGGCACAGTGGCGGTAAGCTGCACCTCCAGGCGGCCCATGAGGAAGCTGCCGGTATGGAAAGCAGCAGCAGCTGACCCGTGGGTCATAATCGCGGTGTGCAGCTGCTCTTTGGCATTCGCCAGTGCACCCGTCAGGGCTGCCTGCACCAGCTGATAGGGGTCCATAAAATTGCAGAAACAGGACACAGACGGACACAAACAGCGATTTGTCCAACCAAGGCATTCTAAGTTCACATAACGCCAACGTGACGACGCGCGGTTGAAGGACAATATGCTGCCCAGCTGCAGAGAAGAGGCTCAAAAGCTGGTTACATAGCAGGTCTAAACGCCCTCACCCACCACTTTCCGACTTCAAGCCTCTCTATCCTCCCGTCCACCCTCTAGCGAGCCAGCCTCTGCATGCGCTGCATCGGCCCACCATGCGGCTCCCCTTCCCCCCTTCCGGGTTTCTCGTCTTTGTGTTAGCAGACCAAACCCTCTACATACCCCGCCCGCCAAGATCGCTCTGAACCCCTACCTGCATCTCAACAGGGGGGCCCAGCTCGGCCAGGCGGCGGGGCAACGGCCTGAAGTCCCCCACCAGGGCAAGCTGCGACTGCAGCGCTGCAGCAGACGGACGCGGCCATGAGTGGATGGATGAACGACAGTGGGCTTGGTGGTTAGGCGGCGCATAATAAAAGGCTACTGGACCCAAACAAGCACCATGCAGGGGACGGGACATGTAGTAGCTGGCCGCTGGAAAGGCCTCTCGAGATACTGGTGGAGCGCTTAGCGCGTATTTGTAGCTCATATGTGTGCCGCACTGTGTATCAGCTACTACAGAAAGACAGCAGGCGAATACTGCTATGTGTTGTATTCTGGGCATATCACAGGATCCGCCGATAAGTACATTTCTGAAGTCATGATGTAACACTATGGCACGGACGCATGCATGCATGAACAATCCGGCATACGCATTAGGAGTCTTTGGACTTCGTGTAAGGGGGTTCACACCTAAGTGACGTATATGTATGGTTTTGTTCTGCCGGGTGACAGGAGAGCTATCGCGCTCAGCACAACTTCGATGGAATATTGGCCGCTGGTTCTCGCTCCCACTAAAGAACCAGCGGCAGCCATCAATTATTGCACTGCTGGCTAGTATCCTTTCCACAATTGAATGCGGCGGACGGTGCATTCTAGAGCGGTCAAGATACTACGATTATCCCCCCCCCTAGCTGTAGAGGGCGACCTCGGCCTTAGTCTACCACAGGGTCCCTGTGTGGTGGCAGCATCCACAAGATAACCAGCTGCCGTGGGGCCTGTCACCTCCCGCTCAGCAGAAATCGCATCATCAAGAGATGCGAGAGATTCAAACTCAGGTCTGAACAAATATGTCTATTTGACTCCAATTGTTATATCACGACTTTAGAAAAGTACCGGTAAGTGGATGGAGATATTTATCACGATGTACTACCCCTAGCGATATTTCGCTTTTATGCTTTTTGCGGCTCCTCATGCCGATAACCCTCTGTCGCTTGCTTGCTGCCCAAACAAGACATTATTTCCCGGAGGGGTGTAGTAGCTGCTGCTGGAAACATGGTTCGGGTAGTAGGTTGGGTAAGCCCATTGAGTTCATGCGATATGTAATAACTCGTGCTCCTTCTCCCCAGCGGAACATTCAATGACCAAGTTGGTGCATACTCGCCAAGCCGAACTCTAAAAGAAATCCTGTTACTTCTTTTCCCTTGAAACTGCATCTGACTCAGCCGTAGGCTGCCTGCTGGCCCAGGCCGATACATGCTCAAGACTTGCAAAGCGGAGGCGTGTGGCTCCGTCGTCTTTTAGGCGAAAGAGATTTTTGCAGTGTTTAATTGCAGCGGCCTGTGCCCACTGAAACACCGCACACACGGCCGTTAAAAATGGCCCAGGCAGGGAATCTAGATAGGGCTGCTTGTGGTCCCTCACAGCCAGCAACGGTAACGGTAATGGTAATGGCAACGGCAATAGCAATCGCAACGTGAATGGCCCGTCAAATGGAAAGGAACACTGTGAGCCCCGTGAAAACTCATGTACCGACCTTGTAGCGGCCGCGCATCCAGGAACAGGCCCAGTACCACGTGGGTCAGTCTCCAGGGAGGAAGGACACCGACGTGGAGGCTGCTGGTGTGGCCGTACAGCAGGACACCTGCTGGAAGCGGTGCAGCGGCCAAAGCAACTAAACTCATTCATTTGGACAGATGCGTGGGATACGCAACCTTATTTTATTTAATTAGCTGCGAGCCCAAGTACTGCCTAACAAAGCAACTGAAGCACGCGGCAGCGGCGGCGGCAGTGGTACAGGTAGCGGCAAGACGCAATCGTTAGCTGGAAGGTCAAATTGTAATTAATTTATTTACCTGCACGACCAGACACCATTTTGACAAACTGGATGGCATTCACGATAGTTAAGCCCTCCAATCTGGCGATCTGGCGATCTTGCGATACTACACCCAATGCCCCGACCTCTACACCGCCTACCCCCGTGCTCCCTCTACACCTCTACCCCACGCCAACCTGGAGCCCCCGCCCCACCCCACCTTGGCCACTGTTTCCCGCCGAGGTCACCTCCAGCAGCTCGATGCCGTACTCATCCCAGGGGGCTGCGCGGAGGGCAGTACACGGGAGGACACGGAGGCATTGAAGCTGCAGCGAGGTGATGTATGGCTTCAAAGCCTGGTGCGGCCCCTCGCCCAATGGTTGCAGATGAGCGGATGCCATTGCCTCTGACGCTTTGGAGGCCGGTATGCAAGACTGCGTAGGGCGTATATAGCCACCGCATGCGGGCTGAACTAGTTGAGGGGGCCAGTGACTTGGCTAGGGGTCCCTATGGGCTCCCACGGATCCCTGGGGTCCATCCGGAAGTGCTGATTAGGGTTATTAGACCGACCACTTGGCTCTATTGCAAGGAGCGTCGGCAAGCACGTTATGTAATTCCAGGTGCAGATTACCTCGCGCCAGGCCTAAAACCGCCTACGGTAAACGCACTGCAGAACGAACGGTTCAAAAGGCAATGTGCGCCAGAAAGGTAAGGTCTCCCTCCGCAAGTTCGTGTCAGATATCAAGACCAGAGCACAGAGAACTGATTCGTTGGACGACCTTGCGTCTCGCGCGCGGCTGGACTCCTTCCGGGGTCCAAGTAGAGCAGCAGGACGCTACATGCCGTCAGGGTCCTGACGAGCCGGTCAAACAACCACCTAAAATAGCCTTCAGGCCGCCGTTTATTGCCCATCTAGGTCATGCGATCATCTGGCATCTGGGTCGCGCAAAGACGCGCTGCGTCACCGCTCCCCTTGATACTGGCCGTGGATAAGCTGCTCGGGCTCCCCAAGGAAAAAGTACTGCAGCTGCAGCGTCGCGAGGTGCGCCGCCCTGCGTCCCCGCCACCCTCACCTCGCTTCACACCCCGTTCCGCCGGTTCAGACATTCCTGATGGCGAACCCTCGTAGGTGTAGCACAGGCGAGCAGTACATGTCCCATCGCCACCGCCATCACCGCCGCCGCCGCTGGAGGCTCCGCCGCCATCCCCACAGCTACGCCCAACAGCAGCACTGCGTCGGCCACGACGCTTTCCGCCAGAACCTCCTGCTATGTGTGATGAAGGCTCCGTGGCGCTAGCAGCGGTGGCAGCAGCAGAAAAGGCGGCAGCCGCTGTGGCAGGCTCCGGCTGGCAAACCACAGCCGCCTGCGCGTACCAGGATAGCTGGAACTCTTCAAACCCCGGCGGCTGCGCCAGTGTCTGGCGATGCAGTATAGGCTCTGACTGCTGGCTGTCTGCAGCAGCAGCGAAGCTGGTTAGGGCCTCGCGGCGCGCTTTTGCAAGCGACCTGGGGACGACAGCTACGACGCTGCACGCGCCTATTAGGTGACTCGGTGGCCGGCCCGCATCGTTGGCGTTGTTTAAGAGCAATGATGGCGCTGGCTGTGCCTCCGGGACGCCTGGTAGATGCGATGCGCTGGACATTCCTTGTGTTGGTGTAGATCCTCCATCAGCACGGTGAACCTCGCTACCGCATGGTTCATCGCCACTCCTTACACCTGCCGGGAGTTCCGCAAATGAGACTGTGAGAGCGCATGATATAAATCCACAAGTTTTGCTGGCTTGATTGCAAGGTGTGAGGACCTGGTAGGGTGTTTCTACAAGTTCGCACGAATTGGGATAGAGATAAGCTGCCTGCCGCACCCGGAGGTTCGTTTGGGGCAACAAGTGTTGCCGTAACGGCTTGCTTTAACTGATGCGTTAGATCCTCTAAGACCTGGTTCACAGGTGCCAAGGCACCAGCAGCCTCCGCTTGTGCCGCGCGCTCTTCGCCTTCTGCGAGCCATGACGCTGGCGCCGCAGCAAGCAAACTGAACAGACTATCTATCGGTCCAGTATCTGATTCGGACATATCTGTTTACTCCTAACAGCGAAGACCCGCGCAAGCTAAACCGAATTGTGTGCTAAATCCATGCCTTTGGCGGCAAGCTTAACATCATATCATCCTTGTGTACGCCTGAGACTATAACGCCTCAAAAGAGTGATTGAAGATATTTAAATAAACTTGTAAATCCAAGGCATCATGTGCTGGCTGCATCAAGCATGTTGGCTGCATCAACATGGCTGCATCAGCATACGCGTGAGTTTTCTGACATGTGCTTTACCAGTCCGCGTACTTCCATGCGGATGGAGTGACCCATGGGACAGCATACTAGCAGGAGAAGGCAATTGGAAGAAAGCAGGCCGACGTGCTGGTTTCTTATAATTGGGTCGATTCAACGGGTTATATTTTCAGGGTGCAAGGAGGCCAGGGACTTGGGGCACCACCGCTCACGATCGATAGTATTGGAACAGGTTCCAGAACATCTGGCTTTTTAAACATTTGACAGGTGGCCGCGTTTAGTAAAAGTTGAAATGAATAGTAAGCGCAAGAATAGAGCTCACTATAGAAACCCGATAGAGTAGTGCGAGAGGTTCCAAATCAGCATTGAACGGGGGCACAACGGTTTCCTTTCGGGTAGCTTGGAGCATTCCGCTTGTCGGACCTTGCCAAACGCTAGTCAAATTGGACACGGCTGGCAGTAAGCCAGTATAATATCAACGTTTGGAAGACGTCCAAATTGTGGCAGGGCTTAATGCTGTTGGACCTCAGGTGAAGGCTGAAGCTAGAGGCGCGGCACAGCCCGCCTCCCATTGGGCAGCAGGTATTTTGCGTCCTTTCGAGCCCTACTGCACTATCTGGAGCTGGCAACCGTCCCGGGAAGCGGATGTAACAGCATGCCCATTCTTGATGAGGATTTGCGAATCGGCTGAGTATCATGTCACATGTTGCCTTCTCGCTTCAGGTCCTGCAGACGCTGATTGTAATAACAATGCCACCTGGTTTTGCGACGGAGCATGTCACCCTCGCCATCATGTATATGTCCTAGATGTGGGGCACAGTAAAAACGGCAGGGTATGGGACCACCAGGCTCGATTTTGTGAGAATCCTATGCCTTTCCTAGTCGCACCCCTCTACTTCGTGGCTTTAAGATTTGAAGAGGAGGAAGTCAAGCATTCGCCTTTTTTCCCGGGGGCCCTTGATGAAGCCTAATGCAATGTACGGCATGCCGTACGTGCGTACGAGAAGGGTTGGTCTAAGGATCCTCCGTAGAAATCTTCATTATGGCATTCGGGCAATGTTCTTCCTGGCTGTTCCCAACAAACAGCGAGCCCAAATCAGTAGGTGCCACCGTTTCTCATGACAGCGGTTCAAGATAGCCATCCACGAAACAACAAGTGGACTCGCCAGGCCCTGCGGGGGATAACAGGTCGGACTGAAATGGAAGCATTCACGTCCGGAACACTCGTCTACACGGAGGATGAAATACAGCATTACTAATCCACGCCTCGTCCACACACTTCGGCACGAATTGCCAGTACCACTGCTACACCGGCGCGATAGGGAACCAACAACAACAAAACAACAACGAACGATGGACTTCCTGGACAGCTTCACCGCCTAAGGTCCAAGAGCACTCTTCCGAGTTAAACTGTCCTGCTCGTCTTGTGCAGTGGCCAAGTGCCCGCTGCGCATGGCCTGCCTACGCGGCTGGCATGTAGCCTAACAAGCAGCCATCATATCGAAACGCATCCCTGTTTTACCTCGTATTTTTCTTGAACCCCTCTTCTGCGCTGCAGTGCACTACACGCCAAAAGCTTTGCACCCACTCCAATGAGCCATGTAAGGTTATGAGCAAGGCACATCAGGTGGGTACAATCCACAACACAGCACTCAACCCTTGCTCAATCATCTTGGACAGGACGACGCTACCTGTGACCCTACACTCTCCTCTCCAAGCAGGCTCGGCCTTATATCCCCCCACCGCTCAATAACCAGCAGATCTCACCCCGAGGTGAGCGGTGTCTGCACAAAGAACGCCATCCAGCTATCGAATACGGTTTGCACAGATTCCAGCAAAAAGATAATCACGATATACCTGCCACCTTAGCCCCATGTGGCCCAGAAGACTTGAGGGACAAGCTGACATTTGACGGAAGAGCTCGTGGCGCCAGTGCCCGACTCTCTGTGGCACCAGGCGTTCATGGCTCCTTCCGTCCTGATTCCCGAAAGGACCAAGGCCTTTTGGACAGAAAACAGCAAGCAGGGCAAAATGCCCGCGACTCCTGGGGTTCTGCGCACTCAAGAGCCTTGATTCACGGGCTGGCAGGCGGAACTGGCGGACTGGTCAAACGAAACAGGGTTAGGATGGCTGGGTTATAACGACCCAAATTTGGCAGCCTCCTCTGGGAATGGGATAGTCACATTTATGCTTAACCGCTCACGCAACGCAACGACCCTGACCTAGACACGGGGCGCATGGCTAACACGCCGCCTGCCCAACTACTCTCCGCCCCCGCTGCTTCATCCACAGACCCAACCAGCCATCACCTACCGGAACGAAAATTGAAAGACCTCTGACTTCCCTGCTCCTTCCTGCCCCTCTATACGCCCCGATAAGGCTCCCTATGAGCTCAGCTCACAACCTATGGCGGCATGACCCAGGCCCCCTGGCATATACTTGTGTGGTGGCACAGGGCAGCAGCCACTACACCGTTGGATGGCACCGGTGGCACCTGCCGTCACACCTCCCTGCCGCCACACCCGTCTTGTCTGTGCAAGCACATTGGAATTTATTGTAAAAGTCCCTCACAGCCCCGACCAGACCAGACTCATCTTCCGTTGCGTTCCCATTCCGATACACTGCCGCCGCCGCTGCCATCTACTGCCGTCGCAGGACAGGGCAACTACCATCCCATATATCGGAGCGAAAGGATTACATGTTGGACACTGGAAAAACCGGCGAGGAAGAGTGACGGGAAAGGAGCGAGAAGAGGATGGACAAAACCCGTAGCTTATCCACGCGTGCACATCTGGCGAGGATGCCGATAACGTGAAACCGTGGCGGGGAGGGCGCGCTGGTGCTGACAAAAGGTCTTGATGGCTAGGATGCGGGGAAGAGATGCACAACGTACAATTGTGAAAAATCCTGGGACATCACAGGGAACAAACAAAGTGCAATATACATGTTTTGTACAGAGGCGCTCTACTCACTCATCCACGTCTCTCCTGTGTGGGTCTCTCTAATAACCCTTTGCACGGCCGCGGACACAACAGCGGCGGCCTCGGGAACATATAACCCCCACATGGCTGCCAGGCAATGTGGTTTAGGCAGGCAGCGTTACGGCCGTCGCCACCACCTCATCCACTACTGCAGCTCCCGTGCTGCTGCCCGCGGAACAACCGCCACCGCCAGCACCGGCTGGCTTCCCTACACAACTCACTGCAGCAACGGACTTGCTGGTTCCCCTGCCAGCCTCTCCCTCCGCCGCGGGGCTTTCCGTGGTGTCAGTGTTGGGGCTGAACGAGGTCTGTGTGGCTCCGAAACCACCTACAGGCGTGTCGGGGACGGGGAGCAGCCTACAGGAGCCACCTGTCGGAGGGCTCAGGATCGAACTCGGGCTCGGGCGCTGACCACGATCTGCGGCCCATGGCACCACGGTAGCTGCATCCATCTCCAAAGTGTTTACCTTGCTGACGCTATTACGGAATGATGGCGCGCTCTGCGGGGTGTCAACCAGTGCAGAGACGACTAGCGGTGCTGAAGCTTGTGGTACTGAGTCTTCCGAGCTGCGCCCGCTCACGTGGCCTTCCTCCTCCGCTTCCTCAGAGCTGCTTATGGCTCCCCGCTGGAGGTGCTGGCTGGCGGTGCAGTCGGCATTGCCGTCCCCGCAGCCAAGGGCGCTGCCGTTGCCTCGATCATTACTTCCAGGGCCGCCAGCGGTGCCGCTGCCCCTTTGGCTCCTGATACTCCAAGGTTGTGTACCCGCTACTTCCACCCGTATCTGATCCTCGCCTTCCGCACTTTCAAATGGCCCCATTTCCAATGCACCTGGAGTGGCACCCCTGCCGTTGTCCTCCGCCCAATTACCACCCCCAATACGGCTCTTAAGCTCCGGTTCTTCCCCTGTGCTCCCTTGCTCCATGTCCTCATGCGCCTCACATCGGCCCTCATGCATGCTCGCACGTGCCGCCTCATCCACAAGCCCACCAGGACACTCGCCCTCACCCCGCTGCCCCCCATCACTAAGACTGCCACTCCCTTCCTCTGCTTCATCTGTAATTGGATGACCATCGCGAAGTGGCGGGAAAATATCGTGCACCAACTGGTTGATGGCTGACAGCGTCGACAACTGCACCGTGGTGGTGGTGGCGGAGACACCGCCACTGGCGCGGCGGCCGACGGGGTTAGCGGAGACGCTGTTACGGCTGTACACCTCCCGCGGCGCGGTGGATGCCACCATCGCCACCAGTGACAGCTCCGCTGCAGCGTTGACAGGCTGCTCTGCACCGTCGCCATTGATTCCTGGCTCGGCATCATCCTGGGCTTGCCCCTTGGACGCATCGGCCAGTGCTGCTGCACCAGCAGGGGTAGCTGCGGCAGAGACTACCGGGGCTTCCCCCCGGGGTGACGAGTCGATCGGCTGGCGCAGCTCGCCCCGTGGATTGATGATGAAGATACGTGAGGGCTGCACCCCCACCTGCATAGCGCAGAAGAGCCCAGGGTAGAGTGGACCAGCGCCAGACAGTTTCTGTCAGTGACAGCGCCCAGGACTGTTATAAAGATGGTCACGTTTTGAAGTGGCCCTGAAAACCTAATCGGGAGCCTCGGCAACGGAATGACCTCGCAGGGAATGCCCAGCGGGTAGCGGACGCGGCTCGTGTTGCATTCCTGCAGGCCGCAGGGAGCCCTGTCCCAATCACGATTTCATTCCATCCAGAAACACGCTACTTCCGCGCCTCGGCAAGATCACCGATTCACCACTGCACACCAACGACAAATGGCCCAACGCCACCTGCTGCGGCCCCACCTCGCGGTAGCTGATCTCGTCTGTGTCCCGGTTTCCAAATCCACCGTAGAACGGGTTCCAGTCCGACGGGAAGAGTGCCCGAATGTCCTGCAGTGTCGCAATTTTGAACTCGTGCGGCCGCCGCAGAATCATCTCCCTGGAGGTGGTGGTGGGGTGGCATAGAGGCATCTGGTTGTCAGAACCTCGGCGCATGTTATGACGGGTCATCAAAAAGCCAATCCTTATTGAGTTTTTCCGGTGTTAAGAAAGAGGCGGAGGAGGTGGAGGACGAGGGGCAGGCAGGGAGGTGGGGGCAATGGAACAGCAGAGGAGGGCCCAGGGCCCAAACGGCAGTTAGGACGGTGGCCGACCGATATATAGGAGGGGATGCCTTTCGTTGCAGGATGTCCTTTAGCATTGGCAGTGGATGGCGAGCTATCCCGCCCTCCACTGCCAATGGCACCCGGCAGCCACTACTTAGGCCGGGCTCCGTGTTCAACCCCGCCCAGCCTGGCAACTCACACACGGCGCCTCCCCCTCCTACTACTTTTTCTCCCTCCCTGAGAGCGAAGCACCCGACACGGCGGGGCGGCCTGGAACAAAGCAGCACACGTCCGTCCCCGCATCCGCCCTCTTCACTACGCACCATTTAGACCCAACCCCCAGGCGGCATCGTTACCCGCGTGGCAAGGCCGCTTTACAAGCCTCCTTATAGAAAGGTTCAAGCACGTCTTTATAACCCACGGCATAGCGACTAAGTACACACCCAAGCGCGCGCACCGATCGCCCGAGTCGTGTTCCCCACACCACCGCAACTCTTCCCGAAGACCCAGCCGTACCTACCTGTACAACGACGGAAGCAGACCGTGCGGCGAGATGATGACGGGCCCCAGCGGCATGCGGTGCTGCCCCTGGACCAGCGTGTTGATAAAGTCGCGGGTGATGTTGGCCTGGCTGATGGAGCGAGAGCTCAGGTACATGATCTACAAGGCAGGTGAGGTCAGGTGAGGTCTGGTGAGGTCAGGTGACAGGGGGCGGCGGGTGTAAATACGGTGGAGTCATGAACCGGTACGTCATTAGGATTGCGGTATCAGTAGGGGCTGCCCCCGGCTGTAGCCTGTGCAAGAGCGGCTTTTCGGGATGGTCAGCGCCAGGTCAGCTCCCGGGTAAGCGGAGCTGCATCTTGGGTTCCTCTGGCGGCCTCTTGGCTGTAGGGCCCGGGCACTCAGGGACCCCCGGCAAGCAAGACATCACGTTACGCCTTACGCAAAATGTCCCAGCCTCCCAATCGGATCCAGGCGATGAGGCTAATTGACACGACCCATGCGTCGTGTCCCCATGTCGCGTGTTGTCGCCCTTCCCCTCGTAGCTCCCTAGATTGGCCACTTAGTCCTTGCACCACTCCACTATTAACTAGAGATCGTCAGCCCTTGCCCCGCCCTCTATCTGTTACCCTACCCCACCAGGTAGTTGTTTTGCCGAATGTTGGTGAGCAGCTCCGCGATGCCCGGGTGCGACCAGTCCAGTCCCATGGCGGGCAGCAGGTGGCCCAACACGTCCGACTTGGTGATCGTGCCGTCAATGTCCGAGATGACAATGCGGGTGCGCCAAGGCAAGTAGTACACGTACGCACGCAGCTCGCTGGCTCCCACCCTGAGTGCCGCGAGTCCAATCAATCAGAAAAGGACAATGCATCAGGAAGGGGATCGAGGGAGGACGAACCACGAATTAGTGAAGTTGACGCCAACGATAGACTGATAAGGCAGAAGTATGAAAAGAAGTAACTAACCAGTCGCGACTTGCAAAGGAAGAGTCTTCACGGTGATGTAGTCATGAAGGTAGCAGAAAAAAATACCTATCTAGCCGCTAAGTAAAATGCGAAAAGAAAGAAGAGGAAACGCGTTCGGAGTTCGGGGGTTGGGAGTAGGTTGGACATGCACTAAAACATGACACAGATGTTGAAAACCCTTCGTAAAGTTCAAACATAAGACGATGGCTCCAACAAAGTTACGGTGCGCCGTTAAATGGACGTCCTCGATTGCAATTTCCCGCAGCGCAAACCAGTAGACCTACTTGTACATGACGGTGTTCTGGCCATGCTTGAGCGGCAGCGCCGCCAGCTGCTCCACCGTGGGTGTGAGGCTCTTCTTGGTGACCACATGGTAGCCCTGCCTCCGGCTGCCACTAGCGCTAGGACCGTTTTCGCGGGTAGTCACAGCGGCAGCAGCAACGCCTGCACCGCCGGTGCTGCTGCCTGCGAGCGGAAGAAACCCGCCCGACATGGTGTCGGCAGTGGCGATGGCGGCCACCGTTGCAACGACAGTGGTCGTCCCTTCCGCTGCACACGGTTGGCTGGAGGGCAGCGGCGGAGGCTGTGCCGTCCCTGCTGCCGGCAGTGGCGGAGGCGGCGCCGGGAGAGGAGGTACTGTGTCCGCACTTACACCGGCGGCACGGTGTTCAACGGAGCTCTGCCGCTCCGCAATGGGGCTCGTCAGCGGCGGCGATCGGCCACTGATAAACGAAGAGACGCCGCCGCCGCCCGTTGCCGACGTGCGCCCCCCATCGCGCCGTGAACCGAACATCCAGAGCCGCCAGCTGCCAGTCGCAGCCGCCCCCTGACCCTTCTTGGGCGTCGTGGCGGCGCTGGAGGTAGTGCCAGCACCATCGACACAGCCGTTCTTTGGCACAACCGGCCCCCCGGGCCCAGTACCCTGCGCCACAGCCGCGGCCAGCATGGCCGCGGCTGCAACTGCCGCCGCTGCTGTTGCCACTCCCTCGCTCGCCCCCGCCGCCTCTGCACCCTCAGGTGCCCAGTAGGTTGTCCCCGGGGGCAGACGCCATGTCCCGAATGCCAGGAGTCCCAAGAGGCTGTACGAAAGGGGTTGGCAGGGGAAGATGACGCCGTTGCTAAGCCGAATGGCCAGCTCGGGCATACCGGACATCTGCTGAATACAGGAAAAGAAAGCCTCCTCCGAGACGCGGTGCTCATCAAACAGTGCGCTCGCCGTTGCGTACGGCATCATCGGTTTCAAATGACCGCCACACAGCGACAGCTCAATGCCGTGCGCCGGGGTCGCAATGCCGACGCCGCACGCAGATGCAGCGGCAACGGGTGCAATGCCGGCGGTTGGTGCACCCCGGGCGACGGCACCGCCGGCCGCCACCGCTGCTCCAGCGGCGCTGGCGGCATGAATGGCACTTGATGGCAATGGTGCAGATGTGGAATGGAGGATCCCGTCGGGGTCATGCTTCAGGTGTCCATGCCCGTGACCATGCGCAAAATGATAATGATGGCCACTGTGATGTTGCCGTACATGCGCTGCCATCGCCGTCGCCCTGCTTCCCTCCGCGTCTCCTAGGTAGCCGGCATCGCTTGCACCGTGAGCCTCCCCCGCCGCCGCCTCCATGCCGCTGGTCTCGCCAACGCCGCCATCACCACGGTGAGAGCCCGAAGATCCGGTCCCATTCGGTGCTTGCACAGGCTCCGGCAATACCCTCAAGCTCGCCTGCACGTCGCCGTCGTGCGCGATTCTTAAAGACAGCGTCACACTGCGCTCCTCGGCGGGCTGCTCCACTGCTGAAGGCCACGGCCTAGCTGCCATCCCTGCTGCTGCCGCTGCAATCGGCCCAACAGGATGGTCGCAGACCGCCGAACCCACGAGCGGCAGTGCGCCGCCGCCGGAGGTTGCGCCGGTAGCGGCCGCAGGCAGCTGCACGAACGCGGATGCCGACAGCACCAGCGGGGGCGTCGAAATGGCAGCCGTCGCCACCCCATTACCCTTCGCCCTTAGATAATCCAAGCTTGACCGGCTCCCTCCGGTAGGTGCGCCAAAGCCTCCAGAAACAGAACCACTGCGAAGGCTAGTGGACAGGAGGCTCACAGCAGAGCCGGAGCCCGAGCCCGAACCTGGACCTGAACAGCCATGGCCCTCTAACGTGGTGGCGGCAGCGGCGACGGCCAGTACACCTGGCCCGGCTCCAAGGGAGGCCCGCATAGTGGCGCCGCAACTGGGGCCCCAGGTTCCTGGGCCGTCCAGCGCAGCTGCGGCGGCGCCAGGGGTAGCATGGGGAGACGCCGAAGGGGGCCGCGGTAGCTCCAGGGGGGGTGGACACCCCGGGTCAACATTTCCCGGAGGCGATGAAGTCAGCGGTATATCTGTATAGCCAACAGCCGAGTGTGCCGTTATTGCTGTGCTACTACCGGCCGCGGCGCAATCCAGGGCCGTAGCTGCGGGGCCCCCAGCGGCAGGGATGTTTTCCGGAAAGCCAAGCTGCTGGTGCAGGGGTTGTTGTACGCCAGGATGAAGACATTGCTCATGCAGGTGCTGCAGGTGGTTTTGGGCATGGCTGGTCAACCCCTGCTGCTGCGGCTGCACCTGTGGCAGCTGCGGATTTGGGAGGGGTTTGGACGCCGCACACCGCGCCTGAGCGCAGTCTGCGCCTGCCGGACTACCTATTTTGTCCTCCGGCAACGGCCCTTGCCCTGCCGCCGCCTCCTCGTCCTCTGACCAGCCGCAGGGGCTGCCGCCCTCGCTCCCTGTTCCCAAGCTGTCCATGCTCAATGGGCCTTGCCCTTGGCCGTGCCCATCCACTTGACCTTCCGGATGCAGGAGAACTGGGCGCTGATGGAGTTCAGAGGGTGGTGGTGGTGGTTGCGGTCGTAACTGAAGCTGCGGCTGGATTCCCGGAGACCCTGGCGGCGTCATGGGTGGGACTTCGCTCATCGCGCAAGCGACTAACTCGTCACTAAGCGGCGTGGCCATTGTTTCCCGGGCTGACAGGAAGGACTCATTGCGGTCCGCCATTGACAGAGCGGGCTCCATCTGCACCTGGATGGTCGCCAACTCATGGTGTTGCTGCTGCTGCTGCTGTTGCTGGTCCTGCTGCTGTTGCTGCTGGTCCTGCCGTTGCTGCATCGGCCAAGGGGGTATTTTGGAGGTCGCAGGACCATGGAGGCGCGCAGGATTGGGAGCGAAGCACAGATGTAAGCCACGATTCGCAGATAAATGTCCTTAATTTAGGGGCTGTTGCGTTGTGGTAAGCAGTTGCATAGAGGTGCCGTGTTAAAAAGGAAGTATATCTCGTGATTTGTTTCCAGCCCACAGGCCAGTCAGACAGAATCAACCAACCCATCGGAAGTAACGCAACCCCATTATCGCAAAACCATGGCCATCATATCATCGGCTGTGATGCCGCTCCAAAGCACACCTGGACACCTGGCGATGTTGCAGACCGCTTGTCCAAAGTTTGAGCTGGCGCTACGGGAGAAACCGTGGACTCAGCTGCAATAGGCGGTGACCCAGACGGACCAACTCCAGCTCCAACCCCAAGAGCGGAAAGCGGCACGCGGGGTCCCCGCCCTGCTCCGTCATGTAATCAGCACAACCGCCCATTGAAGGAAGCGAACTAAGCTTAGCTTTGCAGGTGTGCGGAACGAGACATTGGTTAGAAGGTACAGCCTTGTCACACACGAATCGAGCACGACATTTGCTGCTGGAACTCAACTCCCAGCCTCTATTGTTGCCTTTACAAGCCCCAGCCTAACTCACCCGCCCCGGCGTTCTTGCCTAAACCCCTGCGAGCCTCCTTCATTCCATCAATCCGCTGACGGACAGCGGACAACGTGGCGGCTGCCTCTCCGCCGCCGTCCTGCTGCGGGGATGGCTCCTCCGCGCCGCTTGAGTATCCGCTAGGCGGCGACATCATACCCGCCAGCAGAGCTTCCTGCTCATCCTCGTCCCCGCCTACAACGGCGCGTGAACCGCAAGACTGGGTGAGCCTAACCATGGTCATGAGACAAAATGGCAAAGGAGTAAGCAGGTATGAGCAACCACTCAGCGGGAGCAAGGGAAGGAAACGGAATGAAGCCTGGGGGAGAGAGATCTACTACGGCAGCTTTACCATCCGTAGCTAGACGGCTGCTAGAGAGCACCGGATGCGGCGTGGCCTGCATGTGTCAAGAATTCCTGACTCATGAACATGAAAGGCAGGCTAAACGGAAGTGGCTTTGGGTTGCTTGGTGTGCGGCGCGGACTGGGCGATATAACCCTCGGGGACAACGACAGGAACTGGATACCTCTGAACTTCCTTCCCTGCCACATTCCCTGACATCACTTTGATGGATTGCTGAGGAAACCTATGACAATGTTATGCCGTGGCCCCGGAACGCGCAGGCAGCAGCCGAGTGACTGGAAACGCTCTATTGCCTTAAAAACCCAATTCCGCGTCCAGACACGTGCCATCCCGGCCCAGCACCGCACACACCCTATCGTTGCTCAATGCCGTGAGCTGCATACCTTCTCTGACCTCAACTGCTTCAGTGGCAAAGTAAGCCTGCCCGTACATGCCAATGTGCATGCCAAACGGAGCCAGCTCGTCTGCGTGAGAATCACAAACTTAACTTGCGGCAGCAATCGTCATGTAACGACAAGGCAAATACGGCATGACTCACCGTTGATGTAGAGCTTGACATTGCGTTCGCGTGTGCGAAGTGCAGTGTACTTGCCAAAACGGACTGCGATCCATCATGAGAATGGTATTGATGGCAACGTATAAATGTATGGTCGCGCACAAGTTCAACTCACCATAGAAAGGAGTTGCCTTCCGGGTTCCATCTGGTTGCTCAATAACCAAGATATCCACAGCACCC